AAAAAAGGACAAAGAGCTATGGTAATCGTTGTGAAAAATGTAATGAAAAAAGGAAAAACCGAAGAGCCTCTACTGATTTCCAGTGATTCCAGGTATGACGTGAGCGTTGACGGCTTCCTTTTTATGTCCTTCTGGTTCAGCAAATGATGGCAGCGTATAAAGTAGGTCGGGAGGTACAAAAAAGAAAATACGATAGTAGTAAAAGTGGACTCAGACGAGTTAACAGATGGAAGAATAAAAACGACGAGGGCCTCCCAAATCCACTAGAAAAAGCAAAGTCGCGACTTGGGCAGTAGTTCCTAGTAGGTAGCGGTAGCGTTAGGTAGTGGGAATCAGCAAGCAAAGGAATAGTATCCCTATAAGCCTGGCAGTAGCGCTATGCACTATGTCAGTATATCAAACACCACAAGAACCACAGTTGCGAGAATGAGCTGGAAATTTGTCGGCAGGGGGCACTATGGTATTGGAATTTATTCCACTTTTTTGTTATTCCTCTTTCTATTTTTTCCCCTGCTTGCAAAAGGAAATAGTAAGAAGAATAAAAGGCGTGTGCACAGACTGGGACTTCAAGGCAGTAAATAGTTTCTGCAGGGGGAATTCCGCAGAGGCGTGCTTAGGGAAGTGGAAAGTCTTAAGAAGTTTTTCTTAAGGGAAGCTTACCAAAGAGTAGTGCAGGTGGATGACCTCTAGTATGTAATTGAATCGCAGAAAGAAGTAGAAGAAATGTTGGAGGGCTACAAAGTCCTTTTTCTCACTCTTTCTCTTTTCGTGGGAAGAAGCAAAGCCCACTGAGAAATAACACCAATGACAAAAATAAATTAAGGGAGAAAAAAAAAAGAGCAAGTGGTGACCGAGGAAGCGAAGAACGAGATGCAATGGAACAAACAGTTCTTACTCCATAGATAGTTCGAAAACAGACAAATGACGAAGACGGAAGGTATTCAAGCCTTCACTGCTTTTTTTCTTTTTTTTTTTCTCGTTCTTAAATTGTACTCTCTTCTGATTTTTGATTATCCTAGTCATCTTGTTATTATTTCTACAATGAAATACGAATACTGCCACTCGTCTAGACGACTGCTACGTACTTCGTAACTAGAACATGAAGACCAAGAGGTCAGGAAATATTAATACTAAAAGACTGGTTCTTTGGGTCGCCGACTCGCCGGTCCGTCCGGGAGGCAAAAAATAAAGAACAAATCAAAGGAGGGAAACGGTTGGGTCAAGCGCGTCAAAATACACGAGATGCAGGGTGGGAGTTCCACGGCTGGCGGAAAGCGGAAAGGCGGGAAGATTCGCAGATGGATCTCAAGGGATGTTGTAACAGGACAATTCCTTGGGTCGACTGGGTCTTTGGGTATGTTGGAACCTGGAAATTTGACGGTTTGTCCTATGGGAGTTCGTTTTCGTTGAGGTACCACGGACAATTCACTAATTATTCAGGTATAGACGAGTTTGATTGGTCTAAGCAAGAAAAAAATAATAATAATCACCACGGGAATTAATTATCGTTGATGAAATAATTGCCAGATTCCATCGGTAGGCGACGACCGGGCAGAAATTGGTCGATGCGATTGGGAGAGATGGGGCAATGGACGTTGTGGGCATTATCATCGGCGTCAGCACCAGCTGGGCACTGGAGAAACATAAGTGTAAGCAGGGAAAAAAAAATAATAATAATAAAAATTGTTTATACGAATAAGATTCCATACATGCGGTGGTAAAAAAGAGAATTACAGTAGCGGTCATGAAAAAGAAACGCCGTCGAAGAACGGTCCGCGGACAGGGTGGGGCCCTGTCCAACACGCCAGCGACCCATAGACATGGACGGGGAGTCATTAAGACGCAGCTAAAGCATTCATGGTTCCATGGAGATCACCTGAATCGCTGTAAGCCCTTCGGGTTGGGCGATTACCAGACCCCGGCGACCACCCCAGCAGCGACTACTGTAGAGTCTAGAGCCTGAAGAGGGGCGTAAGTTTGCAAGTGACGAGTGATGACGGATGAAGGGTGCTCCGGGACGGGTAAAGGCGCCGTGACGGAGCTCCACCGACCGCTTCAATTCCTTCCGTCTCCAGTTTGGGCTCTTTTCTTTTCTTTCTATTTTTTTTTTTCTCCCTCTTTTTTTTTTTTTATTTGGCGACTTACATGGATGATTAAGTTGCTGTCCAAAAGTGGCTTAGAGATACTGGTAATAATACTTACGACCTACCAGGCTTGAAATGATAAACATACAGATCTAACCCGTGATGGTTGAGATCGATTCCTTCGCATATGCTTTTATCAGGGGAACGTTCTTGATCATTCTTATTTTAGGTGCGGTTTCATATCTTTGGCTTTCCATTTTTATCTAAGACAGAAGGAATAGCTGTACAACGATATGGAGACGAGACTAACTTCCAGATGTTTCATCTGACCATGGCTGAACGGCCTCAGGCTATCCCTTTTCAGGATCTAAGCCGGTGCCCTGTGCTTTGCACCGGTCCCTAGATAGGAACTACTTGCAGTAGTAACTTACGTCCAGGCGTGAGACTAGATACCACGCGTACTCCATCGTGACCTGCAGATAGACGATACGGGGTCAGGCCCGGTTGGTCGTCCTCCTGGATGAGTACGGCAGTATAACAGGATCCGTATGACATGAATAATGGAGGGAGACCCAACTGCTCTATGCCGCAATCGACTTGAAAAATACATACACAGAGGGGCACCAAGTCGACTTGATCATTATCAAGATGGGAGGACATACATGCTGGGCCCACCCGGGTAATGCCCGAATCCCTAGAAGAGGGGCTGACGGCCCGTGGATGGCAACGAATAATCGTTTAAAGTGTACCAATGGCGGCCTGCAGAAGATTAATCAGCCAGCCCTTTTACTGTATCAAGCCTCCCTTCATAAAGAAATTTACTTCTCCAAGTTACACTGTTTACTAGCTGAGGTCCTTGGCCGGGCATCCGACGGACACAGAAAATCCGACTCATCAGGAAAAGTTTTTCTATCAAAGAGATATATGCTGGGAATGGTATGAAAAAGAAACAAAATCCACTGGTTTTTTCACCATCTTCGTGTCCCCTTTGTCCTCTGTCTATGGTTACCGGGCTCATGTTCTTGGGACGCACTAGGGATTAAGGGTACCAAGGTTCCCGGTCCATACTGAGGATTTTTTTTTTTTTTTTTTATTTTTTTTTTTTTCCGAAATAAAATAAAAAATAAAAAATAACTAAGGATAGAGAAAAATAGAGAATAATTTCTTGGGGTGCTCCAGCCGTGCGGGCGAACTAGTAGCACACATGGCTGAACAGACATAGGTAATCTAAGAACCATGGTTAACTGCTCACCTAGTGTACCAGTATTCAGACCAGTGCATACACTCCTTTTTTTTTTTTTCCCCTTCTCCTTAAAGGATTTTTTTCCGGCGGTATTTGACCCAGTGACCACAAATTAACATGAGCAAATATAAAGATGGGTTCGTTTGATTACGATGGTCATGCTTTCTTGTTCGACGGGGCCTACTCCTTGCATTGGACCCGATGACCAAGAGTGTGGTGGACATTCCCAACCAACTACCAGCCCTACGTGTGGGCACGGCAGGTACCTGGAGCTCAGATCTTAAAAATACCATATGTAGAATTACCCGGTCTAATCATGCGAGGACCGAGAGATCCCTTGCTTTATATCTCGACCACCTGATCTCTTATAACTTGATCAAGTCCTTGTATCTTGCCATCTCAGTTGGCCTACACTTACGGCTAATCGGCTCTGGTATGCGCCTCGCAGTAGTGCCCGCGGACATGCAGCGGCTCTCCTGCTGTGGTCCGGCTCAAAAATCATACAGGGTTCCTTCATCAATCAACCAGGGTAGGGATGCCACCAAGCAAACACCTGGGGTGGCTGATTGGCGAGTATTTCTGCACGGTAGGTGCTTACCCCAGTTCTCATTACCGACCAACCCCTTGTATCCTTGCCCGGCAACCCGCATACCGCTTATCTCGCTGCTGAAGAAGCGGAACCTAGATCAGTAACTCACAATGCAAAGCCACTGGCACGAGTTTCAGTGGCTTTAGCCATTGCGCCCTGCACAGTACTTTGACTCCCTTGCATCCGGGAACTCGGGGATCACTCGCGAACGGCCCAGCCCGTCCACAGGGGCCGCGAGCCATGGTACCAACCCGCGATCTTGTCATCATAGCACCGAAAACAGTTTTGCAATGCAGAGTAGGAATGTACCATCCATTCGGGTCCCCCCTTTTTGTTCCCTTTTTTTTCGCCCATCGCGTGATCTTTTGGTGGGATTCACTTGTCTCGATCTCAAAAGTACATAAATTCCAAATATTTGTGGAAAGGGATACACATTCTATTGTAATATACTGATTCACATATGCAGCTATGCCTTGCTTCAGTTCAAGAAAGAACAAAGAAGACTTATGAGAGGTTCTTTTTCTAGTCATGAGGTCGAAATCAAGCCCGGTGGCCCTGTCCAACAATGGGACCAGAGAGTAGGTGTCGGTAGGGCCTTTGAAGGTTATGAACGATCAGTAGCTCCATAGGATTCGAGCTGTTTGATATCTATCTATAGACAAATCTGTCCCAAGTTAGAACCCATTTGCTGCGGAGAGGAGCTGTTATACCGAACTTGTCGGTAAGAAGCACGATGAGACCTGCATACTACTAGTAGTAGTCATGGCTGTTCTGAGGGATACTAGATCAGACGGAAGTAGTATGTAATGGTGTATGTAGGTATGTCGTCATATCCCGTCCAAAGACCCGGAGAACGTTGATTTGGATTCGTGGGTAACCGCTCCGAGGACGGAAAGGATCCAAGGTCCTTACTTCGATTCCACACCTCAGGCCAACCCTTGTGGGATGTTCGGGGACAGCAGCACGTAATATCACAAGCCTTTATGGAGCGCTTTTGTAGTCGAGGAATTAATCAGGCGTAATGTGAACACGTTGACCCGATTGACCCCGCAATCGGCTCTCCATTGGTTGAAAATGAGTTGAGTCGGAAGTGAATGTTAGGTTAAGCGACGGCCCTCTTATTGGCCCATAGACATACCGTGAGCCGCTCCCTCATCTCTGGTTGGCCCCAGCATGGAAAGGAGCGCTCCGAACCGTAGTCGCACAAGTATGGCTGGTACTGACTAACTATGGAACCCTGCGGCGGCGTATCCATGGTATTGTAATTCGGACGATGCTCGGTCTCCATGTGGTGGACCGTGGTCTTGGAGACTCGGTCATGGTATGTTATTCGGTCGACCCACCCACAAATTTAACTGTCCCATGGATCTGGGTAAGAACAGTAGGTACAACCGTACAAAGGCCGGGTGCTGTGGGAAACCCAATAATAGATGCACGCATAATTCGAGTTAAAGTGGCGATGAAGGAGGTTCGACTCCGTTTGAAGTGGGGTTTGTGGTGAGAAGACCGTCAGGAAAACTTTTTAGATGTGGAGTTTTCGTGCAAAGGGTATTAGGCGGTGAGCACTGGTTCTCAGCCCCCAAGTCAGCAGAGGTCAGCTAGGAGCCTCGGGTTGATGGTTTACCTAATTCAGAAAATGGTTCAGCTGAAGAAAGTGCAAGACATCAGATGTAGTAAGGTTTGGATATCATGGATCTTTCATAACTGTCCTGCATTACCGCGTCGGGAGTTTCAGTCGGGAAATCGACGTTTTCGACTAGATACGTATTAATACACGCGAAATTCGGGACTTGTAATAACAGACTCAGTCAAGCCTTGCTCAAGCTGTTTTACGAGATGTGGCCACGGGTACGAGTCATTCGGTGGATTGAGGTCATTATTAGGCCGTAATTGGCTCTACCGACACGAACCTATAATCATGAGAATAACAGTATCCAGCATGCTTCTCCTGGAATTGAAAACAAGAGAGGGGGTTGTGAGGGGGACCCGGTGGAGAGCCCTAAGTTTCCCGGTGCTACAGCCCTGGGACCGCGCCAGGAAAGCATTATCATGGCCCGATCGGTGGCACTTCAAGGGAAGGTGCATTAGCGCAGCTTGGCCAGGTCGTCTCGAGCGAGAAACGGCCTGTCAACGCGTGTCGGAAGGAATTGACGGTGTCCAAGAACCAGGATTCGTTTGCGGGGTCTGCTGACACGGCTGCCAATCAGCCGGTTGCGAACCTGGCCGGCATCCTTGCTAAGTGCGTAATATGATGCCCTGGTTCCTCTTTTGTTTGGAGGAAAGACTTTTAACGAGAATCCACTGGCACATGGGAAGGACATGGGAACTAATGATTAGTCCTCTTGGGTAAAGCCTGGCGGAAGTTAAGAAGAGCCCGTACGCCATTCTGATTTGCTGTACAGCACTCACAGCCATGATCCGACACGCACCGAAGAGAAACAAGTCTAATTTCTGCAAGCTAATCACATTTGCCAGAGACTGCCAAACCTTCTTTAACCCCACTCAATCCTTCCTCAACAGCACAAGAGCGGTGGTTGTTATTACGGTAGATGTAGGTAAGATATTCGCTCATCTTGGACATCAAGAAGCATGACATCGATCGTGTGACTCATGCTGTTTTAACCAGATTGACTGTAATGTACATAGTCGCTTTCACCTTCCCTCTTGAATTGGAATAAATTTTATATTTCTGTCAACCTTTTCTGGCCTCCTTTTTTTATTATTATTATTATTATTATGATTTGGTGGTGGTGATAAATGACTAGTGGATGGAAGGTGGAGACGGTATTTCCTGTTTCGTGACATGGAAATTCACAATACCTGAATGATACAAAGTTGTCGGCCGAAGGATGGAATCAAGATATGTATGACTCCCAAATTAGAAAGAGGAAGAAGTAAAAAAAACAAATCTTAAGAGAAAGGAGAAATAGCCATTCCCATACCTCCTACGCGGCCTGATAAGAATAGCACCAATGCCGGAAGTCGGTGGTCGCAAACGGAAATCAGCCAGGATGAGGTGTGATCTGGATGCAGGTGCTTCAGGCTGGTGTCAGGGCGTTGGGCAACCACCACTCCTCAGTCGCTAGTTGTTCTCCTGGGCACCACGACGGCCCGCCCCGACTCCCGCCGATCTCATGCATAAAGCGTAGTGTGGCATGCTATCAAAGTCGTAATATCATCGTGGTGACGACAATAATGTCACCTTTCGTACGCATTGCATAATTTAGTCATGTCGAGGGAAAAGTCTGACGGCTTTCTGTTATCTGACCATGGGCTAAGAGGTCTGATCGTCTAAGACTGGAGCCTCATAACGTTTTAACAACTCCTCCACTTTTCCAACGTCTCTTTTCCGCCCCAAAACTTTTTTCTTTTCCTTGTTCTTTTCCATTTCCCCGCCTTTCTCCTCTTTGTTCAATCAGATTTGACCCAGCAATCTCTGCTGGTGTGAATCCAGAAACATAAACTTGGGATTCTGTACCTTTGACACTGGTGACGCCACCGATGGCAATCCTTAGGTGTAAATTCTGACTGCTAGAGAGAATCGAGTGTAACCCCAAGGTAACAGTACCCAAGTTGACAACAGTGCAACTTAAGAAGGTGCTGCATGCAGGTAGGTACTCCCATGCGTCCTGCTC